ACACACATGCAAACACTTTGATGTATAAATAAATTCATCAGGGAGGAGCTAGCAAATCATCATATGCTGAGGCCAGCCATTATTCTGTGTCATGGAAACTGTATTTCAACAAAGGAAAACAGAACAGTAAAGGAACAGAAATTAATGGCCAGAATTCTAATGTGATTTACATTTGTGTAAATGAAATCGTATCAGCATTGGCACATAATTGCTGCTTACTAACGAGATGCTAGTTGCATTCCTGGGCACTTGCCCAATCAGACACACATCCAAAAATGCAACCAGGACGTGGTAATTAGCAGCAATATACCATTGAGAATTAAGTGATTTCACATAAGCAAGTGTAAATCACCAGTAGGATTCTGTCCAAATTATTTAAAAGGAGAAAATAGCAATAATGTTCATTAGCCTTCCTTGAATGTTAATATGATGTTCAGAAACAGAGTGGTAAGAGCTTATGTGAATGCAATAACCCATATATGTGGCAGGTAAATGGATATATACCTGCATTTTAAGAAAGCAACTTTTGTGTCATTCCTTTTTTATGATTCATACATTTTAAAAATGTCATTACTAGAAATAATTCTGTCAGTACTTGGAAACTACAATACTGACAGTCCACATAACCATGAATTATTAGTGGTATCATTTATTCACTTGTGACTATTAGTCACTGCAAAACCATCAAAACAATGACCCAAATTCTGTTGCTTAGGATAGTAAATCACACTATAGTAGGTGTTAAATCAATGGGATTTAGTGAGTCAGCTCCTCCTTAAATTCCATTGATTCAAATGGGCCTACCCTAACTGCAACTTACCATGTTAAAGTAAGTTACCGGTACAGTAGGCCCATATGAGTCACTGAAATTTATGGACGAGTTGACTCACCAAATCCTGTTGATTTGATGGGCCTACTCTAGTGAGAGTTACTATCCTAAGCTACAGAATTTTGGCCAGTGTCAGGTTTGCACTGCAGGAAACACTACAGAACATCCACATCTAAACATAAAGACGCTATTATGTGTCTGGAAGTTGAGTCATGGCAAGTGGACTTCTTTCTTGCTGAAAGAAGCTTCACTGATGAAGCTACTTGGATGAGTAATGAAACGTTTCAGCCTAACAATAAAGAAGTCCAGTTGCCATGACTCAGCTTCCAGAAAACCTCACCTGGATGACTGAATCTTCACAAATATAAAGCTATTATGTGGTGTCAAATGGATTCTGATCCCAGTTTATGACAATCCTTGCCCTGCCCCCCTGAGTTTTCTAGGTATAAATCACCGAGAAGTGATCAACTAATCTCTCATTCTGGTGATGCTCTGGGACAGTGCCGCTTGCCCAAGGTAGAAACAAATGGTATGACAGGTAACCCCATCAGCCACACACAGTCCAGGTGATCTGAGCGGGCCACTCTTCTATGCAGCTCAGTGGAGATTCAAACTCCAATTCCATGGCTCTGTGGCCAGAGGCTCCAGTCCACTAAGCTATACCAAGTCAAATAAGCAGCACATCTCACAAAAAGAGAAGAACTCGCTTATGATAAAATCATTAGAGAATTGAGTACTTGTGCTTAGATAGGATGGTTCTTAGGATGCTGGTGCACAGTTTGAGCAGTCAGCACCTCCCTGAGTTTTGGAGGTTCCGTCAGTGCAAAAAGAGCTGCTCTCTGATTCTTATATTTCTCCCTTTCAATGAGAAAACAACATTCCTTGTAGCCTCACCACACTTGGACTATGCATTCAATTTTAAAAATTCTGCCAAAAATATTTGTCTAAGCCAGGAAGGATTTAACAGACACTACAACAGTTAATGGGCAAAAATTTTCTATGACCTGAAGGCCAGAGATACAGAGAGAGTTGCTTCCTTCCACTAACTGACAGATGAGAATTGAAAGTGTCTTCCTCAAAGGAAAACCAACCAATCCATTCTTGAGTTGGAAACTGGGTGACTAGATAGGCATAGCTTTTCACAGTAGAAAGGATGATATGGTTAACCCATCATTTCTCACATCGCACATATATACATTTTTGCCTTGTAATGAGTTTTCAACATTATTCTGTTCATTTCAACCCCTGCCTGAGAAAAATCCACTTTTTCTCCACCAGGATGCTTGGGGATGTGAGATATAAATCGCTCAGACAAAAAAGGAAGCTCTCAGACCAGATGTTTACACCGCTTGGTGGATTAGGATTACTCTTTGGGGTCCTGTGACAAAGGACTTGGAAACCTGAGGTGAGACTTTATCATCACCATAATTAATAACTCAGTGGTTTAGGAATCTGGCTGCAGATCGACTGACTGGGAGTTCAATTCCTCACTGGGCCCTCCTTGACATAGACTGGACTCAATGATCCATAGGATCCCTTCCAGCTCTGCAGATCTAAAATCATCATCATCATCTTAGAACTGCAGAGCTGGAAGCGACTCTATAGATCATCGAGTGCAGACCCTGGAATAAAATCTACCCTTCCAGCAACTATGCCCCTCTTTGAGCATGCCTGCATACTCCCCAATTTTTTTTAAAAAAAACACTCAACATTCCCTTTGTACTATCTAGGGGTCACAACATCAGCTTTTCCATATTTTGAGGGGCTCATCTAGAGGTTCTGACATCTCCTCAGATTTTTGGTTTTGAAAAACATTTTGGCCTCCAGAGGTCCTAAGTATTTGACTTCATTACTTTTTGTGAGATTGGAGATGGGAGGGAAATCATGGGAACAGGTTTGGCCTTCCAAGGAACAGGGATGGACATGTGGTTGTTAGAAGTCTTATGTGGCTAATAAAATAAAAATCTCTTGCTGTCCTAAAGAGGGTTCTCTAATCTCATCAGACTGTTTGGGATAGCTGGTAGCATGAGATGTTGGCCGGCTCTTCCTGAAGGTACCAGGACTCTTGCATCTACATTCAGGCTGGCTAACAGACAAACATAATGTTTCTGTAGATGCCCTAGTCCACAATAATGATAGCGCAAGAGGTGATGTGCTAGAGCCTGAATTGTAAAAGCTCTCATATATGTGTCTGAGTGTGTATGTGTGAACCTGCGCACCAGAGCTTTGGAAACTTACTTTTTCCAAGACTGGAACCACAGGCTGGAACCAGATCTTTTTAATAATCTGAAGAAAACTGATTTACAATGGGTTAGGTGCAAACAGGTGCAAGATCACTTGTTACCAGGGATGGGGACTTGAGTCATGGGACTCGCTGTCAAGTCAGAATGAAATCACACCAGTGACTTGACTTGGACTTAATTTGTTGTCACCCCCCCCACACACACACACACACAATTACTTGGACTTGACTTGTTACTTGGAACCCACCCACCCCTCTCTTTTTTCTGGGGGGAAAACTTGTTTTTAATAGAGACTCAGACGTGGGGCTTGGGCTCAGACCCAAATATTTGCCAACATCCCTGCTTTCACACATGTCCAACTTTAAATCCAGCGTCAGTGTGTGTTCATTTTACCATTGTAGGCATCTCAGGAGGTGAGCATGTTGTCACATGATGGAAATACCATGCCCTGATCCCGTTCCCCCCCTTTTTATTTTCAAAAAAGGTTTTATGTACATTTTACAGTTTGGAAAAAAAGGACTGCATATCTGCACATACAAAGGGAGGCTCAAATGAAAGAAAGAACCTGAAGATAACGGTGGCAGTTAGTTGAGCAAGGAGGTGGCAAACGGTGGAGGTGGGGAAGGAGTGGTGAGAGGTGAATTCATAGTCTTGGATCTTGACCTGTTTGAAGGATATTCACTGAAGAGCAAGAGGCTTCTTCTGGTTTATCTTAATTAATTGCCATTATTGTGTTGAAAATAGTCCGGAAAACAAGGAGTGGGCAGGTGACGGCAGGGGGAGGGGAAGAGTTGGTCCTGTGTAGCCTGAAACTGTGGTATATCTGTAAATTTTGGAGTAGTAAAGAACCAGGTTGGTCACCCTTTTGGACTGCAGTAGCCTTCATGTCAAGAACAGGAGCAGCTGCAGATTCAATCTGGTTTTTCCCCATGGTGTAATTCTGACCCCAGAATTTCCCAGCTAACATGGCCAGTGGAACTTCATGGTTGGTTTAGATGCAAGTGGGAGTATCTGGGCAGTGTGCATGGGTCTGCTGCTTGTAATCAATCAGCTTGTGTTTTTGCAGATCCCTGACTTATTGTGTTGTCCCAAGCCACCCGGAGTTGAACACTTGATCTAAACAGTAGGAAGACAGACTGTGGTATTTATAACAGAGGCACTTTGCTTGGTCTCATGTATATGGGGTGGTGCTTTTGTGTTAAATCATTCTTCTCTTCCTTTTATGCTCATTTACTTGGATTTACAAGATTTACAATGTCCTGCAAGATGGATTTACTTGCAGGACATTGCAAAAGATAAGCCAGCCCCCCCCCCCTGGTTTTGCTCATATATTTATTTATTTTGACTGTCAAATCCATATGGAAGTGGTAATTATTATCTTAGATCCCGGCAGTACTGCATATCTCAGTGCTCTAATCAAAATATGTTGGTATTCACATTGTACAGAAACCTATACAACAATAATAACATAGGGAGAAGTTGAGCTGCTATTATTGTACAAAATATGACCTTGGTGCTGCCTAGCTATTCTTCTTCTTAGGAACATATAAAAAGATTTCTTTCTCAAACTACATGCTTCTTTGTTTCCAAAGCAATTAACAACAGTAGTCTTGCTTCTCCACCCCCACAGATGGAATTGCCATCTTTAAGCACAGAATGGCCCTTGTCATCATACAGTAATAAAATAATTGCATTTAAATTGTCTGCAAGGGTTGATGAAATGAAGAGGAGAAAAGAGAAAAGAATCTACAAATAACAAGCTGAAACGCATGGTCAGTTTAGTTATGAACATTGATTATAAATCTACTGCCCGGAGAGGGCCAGTATTTGTATCAACACATACCATATATCACACATGTCTGAAATTTTATTTGACAGTCTGTCATGGATGAATTCCACAGACAAAGTATTTATGTCTGTTAACCAACCTGAATGTAGATATAGGTGTCCTTCTGGAATCTTCACTAAGAATTGGCCAACTTATTTTGCTGTAAGTGATCCTAAACAAACAGAGGAAATAAAATAGTCCTTTTAGAAACAGCAGGCCTTAATTTTATTAACCACAGAGCACTTAGTTCACTTAGTCTGCTTCACCATTTAAAACAAGACAAGGATGTGCAAGCCTATTTAAACAGTACAATTTTATCATCCAAAAGGTTATTGACTTGTAGGTGAAGACAGACCATCTTGCTACAGGCTATGAAAGGCTTCAGCTATGATCCATCCCCTCACGTTAGTGGTTCAGAAAGAAGCTTATCCCTGTTCAGGCATCCCTTTCCTATCTACATCAAATACACATGAAGCAACTACGTACCTCTGTCATGTTCTTGTCTCATATGAGTGTGACACTTCCTGGGAGCAGAGTTGAGCTAGAGGAGCTCTTGCGATTTCTGAACCTGAGATAGGTCAAACTAGACGGATGCTTAGAAGTTGGTGGTTAGATGGTTCTTTTAATTTCTTTTAAAAGGAGACAGAGTTCTCCACTCTGCCATTCTCACACAAGGAGAGATTTTTTTTTAAAAAAAAATTCCTCAACGTAAATTCTGTTCCCCACCCTGGCTTCTCTTTGCTACTGAGCTATCCAGTCGTAAAATGAGAGAACTGATCACATCACTGCTACCAAATACAAACTTATGTTTTACTATATTCTTTGTTCCCAAGTGACTGAATCATGTACCATCGAGTTAATTCTGATTTATGGCAACTCTAGTAGGGTTTCTGAGGTACGTGAGACATGTAAGGGGTAGTTCTTTTCCATGGCTGAGTAGGGACAGAATCTGCATCCATCAGGAACTACAGAGGAGGGTATTTGCAAACAAGGGCTTCATTCATATGCTTAGTGAATGTGCGGGATCCACAGGTGTTTAACATGAACCTATAGCTCAGGTTTACTATAAACCTATAGTTCAATGGTTTAGGTATCTGGCTAATGAGCCAGAGGTTGAGAGTTTGATTCCCCACTGTGCCTCCAGAGAGAGGAGCCATCCGATATGGCCATAAATCAGAGTTGACTGAATGGCACACAATTATTATAACCAGGCTGGATAGCTCAGTGGTTTGGCCATTAGAGCCATTTGTTGGGAGTATGATTCCCCACTGTGCCTCCTGTGAGTGGAGCCAGACTGTGTGGCCTTGGGCAATCTGCACAATCCCAGGGTGCCCTCAGAAGAAAGGAATGGTAAACCATTTCTGAATGTTCTGTACCGGGAAAATCACACACACACACTTTTTCTGTACTGGAAAATCTTAGCTTATGAGGAACAAACTTTACTCAAGGACAATGGTGGAAGAGGAAGAATTGATTCTCTTTCTCTTAGCATTTTGGTCCTAATCCAAAGCAGGAAGGCTTCAAGACTGAAAGAAACTTTCAAAAAAAAAAAAAGCCCTTCACATTCCTCCCTAAATGAGCTTATATATTCCTTTGAGATTTAAGGCCTTCTCAAATTGTCCCAGGATGTTGATTCTCATTTGAGAATTCACAAGTTGAATTCTCAAGTAAATCAATGGCTGCAATCCAGTTGCTTAGCATAGAAAGTTGCACAAGAGTAGGCCAATTGAAATCAGTGAGGATTCGATGACTCATCTCCTCTATGGGGTCCATTCATTTAAATGGACCTCCTCTAGTTGTGACTTACTTTAGTGTAGTAAGTTGCAACTAAAGTAGGCCCATTTGAATCAACAGAATTTATGGAGGAATTGACTCAAATCCTCAATGATTCAGTAGACCTACTTTAGTGTGACTTATTAGGCAAAGCAACAGGATTTCAGTCAATTGCTTTATGAGTCACAAATAAATTTCTGTGCAAACCAGTCCATAGTGTCTATTAGAAATGGGAACAAACTGAACTGTGAATCAGAAAAACCAACAAGCTGCGCTGGTTTGCAGTTCAGTTTGTGACCTAATAAAGGGGTTCCCATTTTGCCGAAGGAAAACAAAATGCTGAACTTCTTTCTCTTCACATTTTGTTTGCTTTGGCAGAAGGGTATGCTTGCCTGCCCTCTTCTCACTGCTCCCATCACCTCCACCTATCTGTTTCTGCTGCTGCTGCTGCCACTGGCACCCCAGGAGCCTAGGTGCCATGCTCTGAGGCTGCAACTGGGCTACTTGCAGGGTGATCAGCTGGGAGGTGGGTGCATACTCAGAAGTGACCCAGATTCTCTGGCTGGCTTCTCTGCTGCCACCATCACCTCTCCGGGCCACCTGGGGAGTTGATGGCATCAGCGGAAAAGTCAGCCAAAGTTGGTGGGTGGCTGCCTCTGTCCATGCACCCGCCAGCCAGCTGGTTGCCAGGAAGGCCCCACTGGCAGGCTTCCCTGGCAACCGGCTGGTTGGCAGGGATATGCGTAGAGGCAGCCACCCAGCTGCTCCGGCTGACTTCTCTGTCACCACCATCACCTCCTTGGGCCACCCAGGGAGGCCAAGGCAAGGTCAGCAACGGTGGTGGCAACAAGTAGGCCAAGAACTGGCAATGGGGAGGGATGCAGAGTTGAGCATTTTTCCAGGTGTTTCATGGTGTTTCATGGTTTGTGGTTAGCCACAAACGATGAACCACCATGAACTGCAATTTTTCTGGTTCGTGCCTGTGGCATTCGCCCTTGTGGCCCCTGCGGGTCTTTCCCTCACAAAGATTCGCGTCGCGTTTTCCTCTCACTGCCATCAGTGGATTACCTCAATCCACAATATAAATGACGTTTATCTGAACACTTGACTTGTGAACAGAAACAGAACTTATTTATTGAAGTGAAGCAGATTGAATAATAACACAAGTTTCTCAGATAAACATTATACACAAGCAAATAATCAACAGTTCTCTCAGTACATACTTCTTTTCTCTTGCTATATCATTACCACCTTCTCTACTATTTTCTTAACCAGCTTTATCTCTCTCAGTATCTGTTCCCCATCTCTCAGACTAACCAGCCCTATCTCTATCTGACTCCTCCATCTCCTGCCAAGCCTCATGTAGCTGTGGACTCCGCCTCTCCAGTCCTCTCAGGTTCATGCAAATCAGCTCATGAATATGAATGGCATGAGTGACATGGACGATCGTCACAGTGACCATCTCTAGTTTCTATATCTGTTATAAGAAATCATATCAAGTCTCCAACGAGGAGGACTGCATTAACTTTGTGTCTTAGCTCTAAGAACACCGAAGCTTCTTTCCATCCCACAAGGGTTGAACACTCTGTCACTCACTCTGTCAACACCCATCTTGCTAAGTGTGTAGATTATAAAGTGATAAACTTTGTTAGAAAAAGCCATTGTGGGGGGATCTCAATCTCAAGTGTATGAAATATTCCTAAGAATCTCTTTCCACAGCATGGTCATTAAACACACTGTCCACAAAGCGGAAATACATCATCAAAAACGAGGTCAAACAGAGAGATTTGCAATATACTTTTGCTTGCTTATACAAAGATTAGACAGATTGGCTTATTCCTCTGTATGAGTGTGTTTGTATCTGTCTGTCTCTCCCATAGCTCCAAGATGATAAAATCTAGACACCCAAAACCTGTTATGCATAATAAGAGGACACTAGAAACATGTACTTCGGAGTTACATGATTTTTTAAAAAAAACAAGTTAACTTGTTATATGCTGTCAAGTCAATTCTGACTTGTGGTGACCCTTTCCACAGTTTTCTAGGAAGGGAGAATTCGGAAGTAGTTTGCCATTCCTTTCTTCTGGGACCACTCTGGGCCGGTACTGCTTGCCCAAGGCTGTACAGGCTGTCCCTTCTCCCAGGAGGCACAGTGGGGAAATGAACTCCCAACTTCTGGCTCCACAGCCAGATATCTGACTCATTGCACTATCCGCAAGCAAAAAAACAAGTCAATTAACTTTGGTTAAATCTGTCCACAGCTTGTAATATCAAATCTAGTCATTAGATGGCACAAACCAGCAGAGAAACCTCTCTGAATCTCCAAGTGGGCCAGGAGTAAGATAGAGAAAATTATATGCCTGCACAATTTTGGCTTGCTATCAAGATTGGAGGTTGGAGAGACTAAACAGATGAAACCCTTTAATGAACAATTTTCACTGAGAGTGCAGTGAAAGAAGTACAAGTAAGCAACACAGTGGAGGATGAAAAAAGGGAAAATAATGAGGAATGCAGAGAGAGCACCAGGATCGTAGGAAGGAAGGAAGGATCGCTTGGATGGCTATCTAGGTGAGAGAAGAAAAAGAGACTCTTCATGAGTTAGGATAGGGAAAGAGTAGTTGGGTGGGTGAGAAGGAGAAAAAGAACTTTAAGAGGGAACAGTTCTGGAGTAGGTAGAGGTGTGGGAAGTTAAATGGAAGTGTGTCTGATCTAGTGGTGGATGAAGGTATAGAAAGAGCACATAAGTGGGTACAAAATATTGCAGAGGTTTGAATTTCTGGTAAAATTCCCTTTTTTGGTACACTGTAGAAATACAGAGATCCACAGAGGAGACTAGCTACAAAGTTCTCCACAGTTCACCACATATCATTAACTGGCACTTAAAGTCTCAGTAACTCACTGTGAGACATTTGTACTAGAAAGAAAAAGGAAACGTTTCTTTAATTGCAGTTGCTTGAAATTACAGACTTATATATACTGCTTTATTTACTGCACACATACTAGCAACTGACTGAACAGTTCAACAGCAGTAACCTTCTGCCACCAACTGACAAAAGAGAGGAAAGAATGCTCAGCAGAGAGATGAGGCTCTCTTTAAATTTCAAAAGCTGGAAGGAACAATTGGTTAGTGCTGGATACAGAGTCAATCACCCCAGTCCAGAAAAGCCCTTCCCAGTCACACTGGTTCTTAACCTTTGTTACTCAAATGGTTTTGGACTGCAACTCCCAGAAGCCTTCACCATCAGCTCTGCTGGCTGAGGTTTCTGGGAGTTGCAGTTCAAAAACACCTGAGTAACAAAGGTTAAGAACCACTGACTTAAACTACAGACAGCGTGGGAGGCAAGTAAAACTGCAACAAGAACCACCCTCAAATGTCAACTCATGGTAAAGCATAAACCT